TAATACAGCGCGCCCTCCCGCTCTACCCGGGTCTCTGCCTATCCCTTCCAGGGAGTGACTGTCTGCCCTGCGCTCGGGGCCTGACGGGGCCGGCCAGGTCCCTATTAATCCTGTATGCCCTGCAGGCCCTGTCGTTCGTGCTGTGGGCCGTGCTCCTGCTCGTGGTGATTGCAAAGTGTAAGTATCCTGGGGCATGTTTCGCACCGTGACGCACAAGCAGGCCCAGTGGAAAAGCCCAGGGTGACGTCCTGGCTCCATTCAACGGTCAAACTCTCCGTGGCCTCAGATCACGGCCAGGTCCCTCCCAGCCTGGGCCTGTCTCTGGCCAGCATCAGATGCCCTGATCCCCCACAATGCACTTCTCTATGCCCTAGTGCCACTATGTAACACAAGGCTCCTTAACCCAGCTTCCCCTGTCCAGCTCCCGGCAGTGGGGCAGATAGGTGCCGACTCGGTGGGTGCCAGGACTGGAGCACCCAACTGAAAACACTGGGTGCTCAGCACCCACCAGCAGCACCCCATGATCAGCTCTTCCCCTTCCCTTGCAGCACCTCCCACCCACCACCATCCTGTCCAGGAGGCAGAGAGGGGTAGGGGAAGAGTGGGGCAGGAAGAAGTGGGGGAGAAGCGGAATGGGGGCAGGACGGGGCAGAGCAGCGGTGGGAAGAGGCAGACTGGGGGGTGGGGATGGGAAGAGGTGGGGCAGGGGTTTGAGGAAAGGGGTGGAGCAGGGATAGGACCTGGCGCAGAGTCCAGAACCCTTGGGGAAATAATAAAGTCGGTGTCCCTGGAGGGGCCTTACCCAAGACCCACGCCCTGAGCAGGGATACACTGAAGTTTGATGCTGGAACATGTCCCCAAATGCGACAAAAGTGAGTTCAGATTGTGTTGGGACCCCTCTAGTGGCGGCTCACCCAGAACAACAGGCCAGCTACTGCTGCCAGCTAACGGAGTTACTCCTTTCGCTCCAGTGGTCACAGATCTTCGCTGCAAGGCTCTGCGATTTAAACCCTGCCGAGGACCCCTGGTGGGAATCATTATACACAGCTGGCCCAGCGTTCCCAACTCTGGGTGGCTGGATTAAAGCCCCAGCTCCTGGAGTCATGGGATCAGGCGAGACTCTCAGCTTTCATTCACAAAAGAGAGACGGTTTCTAGTTGCAGAGAGAAGCCAAAGAAAGGGACGTTCCCACTCCGGAACCAGAGGGCTAAGAAAAGGAACCCAACCTGTATTGCTTGTTACACATCTCATGGTCTTTCAGACGGTCTCATGATTTTTTTAACGTTTGGGGTTGGCCGAACTGTGCCAGGGAGGGACCGTTCAGAGAGATTGTCTCCTCCAGCCACAAAGCCGGGGGGAGAGATTGTGAAAACAGTAGAGCAGCAGTCCTCCCTGGGCCATGAATCCGAACTACATATAACCAATGGCTTGCGTCTGTCCCTCTTTCTAGATGCAGCACTGTCCAAGGAGCTGGAGCGGATGCGGACTGATCAGTCCCTGCTGGGAGCCAACGGTAACCATTCAGCTGATTCCTGGGCAGGGTTCCCTCCACCCCCTGCCCGTTCCCACCCCTGAGTGGAATGAATTTTGTGATGTGCACCAGTGCAGTGGGGAGGCGCCACGCAGAGGGGCTGTGCAACACGTCATCTTCATATTGGTGCACATCACAAAAGTCATGTGGCGGGAATGGGGCCACGGGGTTCTGAGTGTGGGAGGGGCTCAGGGCTGGGGCAGAGGGTTGGGGAGCAAGGGCTGTAGCTGTGGGTGCAGGCTCTGGGGTGGGTCTGGCTCCGAGGGTCTTGCAGGACGGGGGCTCCAGGTTTGGAGAGGGGCTCAGGGCTGGGGTTTAGGGTGCAGGAGGTGGTGACAGTTCTGGCTGGGGACAAGGGGTGTGGGATGCAGGAGGGTGCTCAGGGCTGGGGGGGCTCAGGGTATTGCGGGCTGTTGGGGCTTGGACTTACCTGGGCAATGACACTAAGGCAGGCTGCCTGTGTGCCTGTCGTGGGGCTCAGGCTGCACCCCGGAAGTGGCCGGCAGGTCCGGCTG